CAACGGGCATCATCCCTGCGGATCGCCGAACCCGAAACGCGTCGCACCGCACCCGATATGGAAGCCCGATCGTTCTCCTTCTATAAAAGACACCTCCTCGCCTCCTTCCTCACTCTCCCATCCTTCTTTTCCTCCCTTCCTCTTCGGCTTCGGCTTGCTTTCGTTTTGCTATCGGTCTGTTTCTCGGGGCACAATGGCGGGCGGTGGGGTCGTCAACACCGGGAAAGGGAAGGAGTACCCGGGGCAGCTCACCCTCTTCGTTTTCCTAACCTGCATCGTCGCTGCCACCGGCGGTCTCATCTTCGGCTACGATATCGGAATCTCTGGTGTGACATCGGTTCTCGTTGCTGTCTTCTTTCTTTCTCTGTTTCGTTCCTGGTTTGGATCTGACGGGTGGGGGAGTCGGGCTGGTGAATAGGTGGGGTGACGTCGATGGATTCCTTCCTGAACAAGTTCTTCCCGGAGGTGTTGGCTAAGGAGAAGGCGGACAAGAGCACCAACCAGTACTGCAAGTTCGACAGCCAGCTGCTGACCAGCTTCACGTCGTCGCTGTACCTGGCGGCGCTGATCGCCTCCTTCTTCGCGTCGTCGGTGACCAGGGCTTTCGGGCGCAAGTGGTCCATGCTAGGCGGCGGGCTCACCTTCCTGGTCGGCTCCGCTCTCAACGGCGCTGCTGTTAACGTTCTAATGCTGATCCTCGGTCGCATTCTCCTCGGTATCGGCGTCGGCTTCGCCAACCAGGTAGGCCTTCATAGAAGCCGATTCCTCCTGAATTCAAGAAAAATCACTTCGATCTATATCTGCTCTTCCTTCTCATTTCTCCTCCAAAGCCGATTTCTCTTCTCTCGTAAAATTTGTTGGTGGGAAAGCAATGAAACATTTTGGTGCACGCTAGAGTGCTTCACCAAATGTAGTCGTACAAGAAGAAAAGGGAAGGTAGCCAACTGGCTCCGCTGGTATACTTGGAGTCCATCCGCTGTTCACTCCACCCTCTTCACTATTCTTGGTTAAAGAACAAATAACATGTTCCTCATCCCGCATTGACTTTCCTGTTTGAATCGTTATAGGCGTCCTTCTTTAGTTGCTTATGGTAAAAGATGCTATTTTTTGATGACCCGAGTGATTCCATCGTTTGGTAGTCTGTTCCGCTGTACCTGTCGGAGATGGCGCCGGCACGCCTCCGGGGTATGCTCAACATCGGCTTCCAGCTCATGATCACGGTGGGAATCTTCGCCGCTAACCTCATCAACTACGGCACCTCCAAGATCAAGGGCGGCTGGGGTTGGCGCGTCAGCCTCGCACTTGCCGCCGTTCCCGCATGCATCATCTCCCTCGGCGCCCTGTTCCTCCCTGACACTCCCAACTCCCTAATCGAGCGCGGCCACTCCGAGGAGGCCAAGCAAATGCTCCGCCGCATCCGCGGCACCGATGACATCAACGAGGAGTACAACGACCTGGTCGCCGCTAGCCAGGAGTCCAAAGTGGTGAAGCATCCCTGGTCCAACATCATGAAGAGGAAGTACCGCCCGCAGCTCACCATGACCATCCTCATTCCCTTCTTCCAGCAGGTCACCGGGATTAACGTGATCATGTTTTACGCACCCGTGCTCTTCAAGACGATTGGTTTCGGCAGCGAAGCCTCTCTCATGTCCGCTGTCATCAGCGGGCTCGTCAACGTATTCGCCACCTTCGTCTCCATCTTCACCGTCGACAAGCTCGGCCGAAGGAAATTGTTCTTGCAAGGAGGAATCCAGATGATTATTTGTCAGGTATATGATTCGTGACTGCAAATTCTGCATGGATGCAACCGGGTCACTCGATTGCTTGATACTTTTGCGCGCTTTGACATGGATGCAGATCATCGTGGGAACCTTGATCGCAATCAAATTTGGGACCAGCGGGGAGGCTACTCTTTCCAAGGCGTATGCAGCATTCGTGGTGCTGTTTATTTGTGTCTACGTAGCTGGGTTTGCGTGGTCTTGGGGTCCCCTGGGATGGCTGGTTCCCAGCGAGATCTTTCCTCTGGAGATCAGGTCGGCGGGACAGAGCATCAATGTCTCCGTCAACATGCTTTTCACCTTCGTCATCGCCCAAGCATTCCTCTCCATGCTCTGCCACATGAAGTTTGGCCTCTTCTACTTCTTCGCTGGATGGGTGGTGGTCATGACGATCTTCATCGCCCTGTTCCTCCCGGAGACGAAGAATGTCCCCATCGAAGAGATGATCCTGGTGTGGAAGGCTCACTGGTTCTGGGGCAAGTTCATTGCAGACGACGACGTCCGCGTCGAGATGGGCGGTGCCGAATTCAAGCCAGCCGTGTGACCCATCTCAATCCGAGATGATCGATGCATACCAACTCGTCATTTGGAAACTTGTAGCAATCCCTTCTCAAACTTCTGATACTATCCCTTTATCACCTTATGTTCCATGGTTAGTCTTGTTTGTTCAAGCTTATGAGATTCTACATGCAGTCGTTCTGGTAATTGTGTTATCGTCGCTATGTTCAAGGTTCTATGTGAATAGAATTTTGGAGCTTGTTATGTCATCCGAATGTGCTATATAATGTAGGAGTTTGATCTGGAAGCAGACGCAGTGGCTAATCCATGGAAAACCTTCATAGTGGGAGTTCATGGAAATAAGAACGTGTCCTGCACAGGAAGGCAGCCCTGTCTGCTCCGTGAAGCTAATCCATGAGCATTTAATCCTTCGAGATCTTGTCACTAAAAAGTTGAATGGAATCCTCGGACTGCATGTCCTTCATACAATTTCCATCGTGATAATGGATCTTCTTCTTCTTTCTTCCTTATCTTCAAAACAGGCCTGGGGAAGGAGGAGCGTGCATGTGAAGGCTAACCCCTTCTTCTTTCTCACATGTCGACGCCGAAAGGCTAAGAACATGAACCATCGATACGAGGATCACGAAAAACGAGAAAAAGTGGCACTGCATCACAAGTTCAATCGAGAGCTTTTTTGCTGCGCCTGTGACATGAATTAATTGATGGTCCGCCAGGATGCGATGGTTTGGATAAGATCGTGGATAAAATCTAGTGATGTGGAAATGAGTTGGAAGTCCGAGGTTCATATTTTGCGAGACGCCACCCGGTCACGACTGCCTTCACTCAAGCTAACGTTGACTTTTGGTGGTGTAATCAACTTTGAAGTCGTGGCCTCGGGCCAATGCGACTTGGTTCGGGTCCGGATAATGGAGGATCTTCTCGGGATAATCTTTGAGTCCGCTGAGGTGACCGACTGCCAAGGTCCGATCGCAACGGGATCGTCGTTTTCTCCAGGAGGGGGCTCCTCGCTTGGGCGTTTGGTGGGAGGCCACCGTCTTCGCACCTACACACAGGTTGGGTCGGGAAGCTCGACCCGACCCCTCCGATGATCAAGTTAGCGAATAGTGGCAGGGGGATTCTTTAGCTAAGTCTTCCCGACCCGACCCCTCCGATGATCAAGTTAGCGGATAGTGGCAGTGGGATTCCTTAGCTAAGTTGTGTCTTCTTGTGTGTCTCTCTCTTTTTTCTCCTCTTGTTTCTCTTAGGAGGGCGAGAGTTTTTATAGTGAGAGTTACCGTTGTTTGATGTGCCTGCCTGCAGGGGGCAGGATCATACTTCTAGTAGCGTCTGACTCCGACATTGGCATGGTGTGACGGATCGAGCTTGAGCAGGGTATTAATGTGCCTCGATTGACGTTCCGGTCTGCGTTGACTAGGTGCTGCGAGGCGTTATTTGGGACAGCTGACGTCACGCGAGTCTTATCGTAATTATTATCCTCATCAACTTCTAACCCATTTCTCTATGGAAATCATTGGCCTTTTTCTAGTAGATACGACTTACGAGTTGGAATAACCGATTGGAATTATGATTGGATTTTTTTTCTACCTTATGATTGGTTTTCATCGATCAGACGTTTAGCTCCAACAGTGAGGCAGGTAGGGAGGACAGGTTCGAGTTAAATGGCTATATAAAATTATATAGCTTGATATTAATACGTACAATTTTTATTTTATTTTAATAAAAATGATATCGAGAGATGGTGGTGGAAATTTTGATTATTCGAGTTGGTCTTCACTACTAGTGGAAGTATGAAATTATGCATGACGTGCATGGAACAGGACAAGTATCTCCTCCGATGACATTTGGCAAGATTCTGTTTATTGGGTGACGACCGTCGCCGTGGTTGATCAATTCCAAGAAGAAGAAGAAGAAGAAGAAGAAGAAGAGTGAAAGAATATGCATTTACTTATTCAATTAATTACAATGGTTAGTTGGACTTTGAAACAACGATTCCCCCAACGCTACCTATTTGAACCCCCATTCATCCCCTCCCCACCAATTTGCGTCCTTCTTCCTCGAACTTGTCAGTCATGACGACCTTGTGTAGATCCTGGGTTTTCTCTATCTTCTTCTGCTTGTCAATTGCTGTCCCCTTGGCAACCTCTCTCTCCTTCAACTTCTCTTCTTTCGATCAATCCAGTCGATCCAAAATCCAACAACAAGGGGATGCATACGTCGCCAATGACCGCATTCAGCTCACCAAGAATCAGCTGGACGGCAGTATCACCAGTAGCGGGGGTCGAGCAGTGTACGGGGAGCCGCTGCTCCTGTGGGATCCTGAAACCCGTGAGCTGACTGATTTCACCACTCGTTTTGTCTTCGCCATCAATGGTCTGAATGAATCTTCGACCGGCGATGGTGTCGCTTTCTTCCTGTCGTCGTATCCTTCTGCCATCCCACCCAATTCGCTCGGCGGCGGCCTCGGCCTCTTCAACAGCACTCAGCTTGCCGCTGACTTAACATTCAATAATACAGTGGCGGTAGAGTTCGATACGTTTAAGAACGACTTTGATACATCCGCCAACCACATCGGAATCGACGTCAACTCCGTCAAGTCCTCTGCGGTTGTGGATTGGCGAAGCAATATCAAGGATGGTAGGGAGGTAAATGCTTGGGTGAGCTACAACGCCAGCACTCGTAACTTGAGCGTCTTCATGACTTACGCTCAAGATGCAGGGTCCGGCAACTCCAGTCTCTCCTACCTCATTGATCTGCGGCGTGTTCTACCAGAGAAGGTAGCAGTGGGCTTCTCCGCGGCCACCGGTAGTGGAATCGAGACGCATGCCCTTCTGTCGTGGTCTTTCAACTCGAGTTTGCTACCAAAAAGGAAGAGTAAGATGGGGCTCGTGGTCGGTGTAGTAATCGGGGCAGCGGTCCTAATGGTTGTGTTGGGCTCGCTCGGTTTAATTTTGCGGAGGAGGAGGAGGAGGAGGAGGAGGACCACTGGGAGGGATGCAGAAGATGAAGAGGAGCTGGAATTTGACCGGAACATGGATGACGAGTTCGAGAGAGAAAGAGGGCCAAAGAGGTTCGCTTACCAAGAGCTGGCCGACGCGACAAGGAATTTCTCCGAGGAGGAGAAGCTGGGCGAGGGAGGATTCGGATCGGTGTACAGAGGCTACTTGAAGGATTCGAAGCTTGAAGTGGCAATCAAGAGGATCTCCAGGGGATCCAAACAAGGAAGAAAGGAGTACGTCTCGGAGGTCAAGATCATAAGCCGGCTGAGGCATCGGAACTTGGTGCAGTTGGTGGGTTGGTGCCACGACCGCGGGGAGTTCTCGCTTGTCTACGAGCTCATGCCCAACGGAAGCCTCGATTCCTATCTATACAGCACAACCAGGCTTCTCGAGTGGCCGGCGAGGCACAGGGTTGCGCTAGGCTTGGCCTCTGCGTTGCTCTATCTCCATGAAGAGTGGGAGCAGTGCGTGGTGCATCGCGACGTCAAACCCAGCAACGTCATGCTGGATTCAGCGTTCAACGCCAAGCTGGGAGATTTTGGGCTGGCAAGGCTGGTCGACCACGATCGTGGCTCGCAGACGACGGTGTTGGCGGGCACGATGGGGTACTTGGCCCCCGAGTGCGTCAACACCGGCAAGGCCAGCAAGGAGTCCGATGTTTACAGCTTCGGAATCTTGGCGCTGGAGATCGCATGTGGACGAAGGCCTGTGCAGCTGATGGAGCAGGCGAGCAAGGTGAGACTGGTGGAATGGGTGTGGGAGCTCTACGGCTGGAGAAGATTACTTGAAGCGGCCGATGAGAAGCTTGGTGGCGTCTTCGACGAGAAGCAGATGGAGTGCTTGATGGTTGTGGGGCTGTGGTGTGCTCATCCTGATTACGATCGACGCCCATCGATCAAACAGGTGATCAACGTGCTTAACCTCGAGGCTCCATTGCCGGAGCTCCCACCGTCGATGCCGGTGCCGATGTATTACGCGCCTCCCATCGAGGCGTACAGGTTATCCTACGCATCCTCTGATGCAGGAACAACGAGCGCGAGTTCTGCATCCACAGCCTGCGTTACCGACTCTTCCAACTCGAACATGTCACGAGGATTATCGTCAACGACGTCGCACTTACTGAAATTTCAGTGAGGCCGGCACTAAACACGCCGGTTCATATTACGATGTTATTTTTTAACCAAAACCATAATGATGATGTTGTAAGAAGGCGTAATTGACAATAATTCATGATGATTATAGATTTTTCTGAAAACTTGGCCATCATGACAATCCAAATATTCCTTTTATGAAATCTTAATGACGGTGAATGCTGATTTAATATTGTGCAAATGTATCGATCATGATAATTAAAATATCTTTATTTGCTGCTAGAAGAATAGCCCAAACATATAGAAGAATTCATCCCGAAGAAGATACAAGGCCAAATATATTCAAGGTGTATGAGTTGAGAAGACTTGACTCGCGTGACGAGAAATCTATTATGACGGAGGTATAAGGTCAAATGTGCTCGAGACTTGTGAGTCGAAAAAACCCGACCCACGTGAATAAAGATCCACTCATAACAGAGTCACAAAAAAAAATATATCTGAGGCGCATAAGTCGAGAAACCTAACTTGTGTAAGTAAAAATACCATGACAAAAGCATAAGGCAAAATATGTCTAAGACGTACGAGTCAAAAAAACTTATCAATGAGAAGAGATCTCGAACGCTCTCATGTCGGATGAATTAAATATCGCACTTGGAGCCTCTCTCACAAGAGCCCTGAGACATGCCTTTAAGGAGGGGGGACAAATGATAGGGAATAAATATAATGTCAGCTAATCATTGTTCAACACATAATTGTCACATGGTATCCAAATATGAGAAGATAATCGTAAGTTTCGTGACCTTTATGACCAAAAATAATAATCATAAGTTTTCTTCTTATCTTTTATGATTAAAAAATGATTATAAGCTTCGACAAAACGATTTGAAAGGCTCAATTTTGACCTAAATTAGGTCAAAATTGATTTTCACCATATCTTTCCCTTTAGATTTTGACATTTTATTAATTTTGGCCTCGGTCAAAATTAAATTCTGATCTGATTTGGTTTTTTTTTTTTTTTTTTTGCTCTGGATTTCGACCTAATCTGATTTCTATTTGAGCCGATCCTTATGTGATTTTGACCTAGTTCGGTCAAAATACTGATTTTGACAACCATTTGATCTTGACTTTGGGCAAAATATAATTTGATCTCGATCTTGATCATGGTTTGGATTTTAATCGCTGAATAGTGATTTTGACTAGGTCAACTTTTATTTGATTGAATTTTAATTTTAATCAATCTTATATCGGTCAACTTTAATCTTGATTGAAACTGAGAACTCATCTTTAGGACAAGTCTTACGAGCTTAGTTTTTTTTTATATATCCATATTATTATTTTCTTTGAATCGCATGATGATGTTTTTATACATTAAAAAAATATTATGAATAATATCAAAAGATATAAATTTAATTTATTATTATTTAATTTGTGAGTGGCGGCATCGTAGCTCGCCCATGCGCTTGCCCGCCTGCCATCCTTGAGGCTGCTGTTCTACTGCAAAGTTGCGCTTGATGTGATCGAGTCGATATCGATTCCGACGTGGTCGGCGAGCGGATCCCACGCGTTGGGAACGGTGTCGAACTCGACCGCCACCGTGCTGACACTCGAGCCATCGACAGAGCTGTTGCTGAAGAGGCCGAGGAAGGCGCCCCGGGAGTAGGCAGGCAGGGTGGGAGGATACGCAGTGAGGAAGAAAGCGAGGCCGTCGCCGTGGGGGGTTAAGGGATCGGAGGAGTTGATGACGAAGGAGAAGTGGGTGGTGAAATCAGCCAGCTCCCTCGTGGTGGCATCCCAGAGGCGGAGCTCGTGAGATGGATCCCGACGCTACTCTGCCGGGACACTACTCTGCCGACGCTGTATTGCATGGGGGAGCTCGTGAGATGGATCTCCTTGTCCAGCAACGATGCGTCGCCTTGGAACTCGATCCTTGACGTCGTCTCGTTGTCGAAACCAGAGAAGTTGAAGGAGAGCGAGCTCGCCATGGGGATCACAGTCGTCAGGCAGACGAAGAGAAGAGACAAGTTGCTGGATCTCCTCAGAAACATGGCTGTGACACGAGGCAGTGCAGGATGGAAGTGATGAAGCTGGTAAAGATGCTCTTCAGCTATAAAAGCCTCAAAACAATAATAAGATTCGTCTGCAATCGGTTTTCCTGATGCTTCATGATGGCATTCCAAGAACCTGTCGTCCACTGAACATGCTTTCCGGTCAAATAAACAAAGAAAGAGGCGTTCTTTATGTTGGGAATTACATGCACGTTGTTTTCGGTGTCACATCTCTCCATATCCAACCTGCGATCCGATGCAGGAGGGACACGCACTATGTCTAATATATAATGATCTTTATTCTTCATTTCTTGGGCGTGAGCAACGCTCCTTCCTCCTTTAAATCTACTCAATCTGTAAAGTCAACTGACAGATATAATAATACATTGAGGAACGAAAGAGAATGGTAACTCTGTACTACACGAGAAAAGAAGAAGCACTAGTTTCCTGGGACATGAACAATGTGGATCGATTACAGGTGCTCCGTTAAATCTGCATGAACAATTAAATCTGCATGATGCAGGAACGAAAACAAACAAATGGCTACAGCAATTGCGGTGGAGATCCGATACGCCAGTTGAGCAGGCAACTGTTTATCGGGTCACAATGTGGGCAGCATCATCTGCAGCGGCGATCTTGCATGGACCTTGAAGCGCTTCGCGGCTGCTCTCAGCACCCTCTTCCACCCCTGCAACCACCTCATGCGGTCATACGGAATCCTAAACGCCAAGATTGTGCACCACGGGGATGAAGCATTACCAGTTTAGGAGAAGGAACCGGAGAGAAATCTAAGCTCTTCCTAATAGCACTCGGCCTCTTCTGCTTCCGCTTCTTGTACGCGAGCTTTGCTTTCACTCTTCGGAGCGTCACTGGAGATCCGGCTAAGAGTTTCTTCCGGACGTCATCGATGCCGCGGGGGAGCAGGGGAGACCATATCCCGCTCTGGGAGTAATCGAAGTCGAAGGCGGAGTTGTCCGGGAACTTGCCGAGGAGCTCCCGTGACATGGTCGGCTCCAGGTACTCCACCGTGACGACGCGCTCCGCCACCATGGCTCTACACTATCATCAGCGGAAACGGGGTCTGGGGGTGGCTTGTGGTGGTGAGGGGGAAGACGGAATGGGTTGCAGAGGGAAGGAGATAGAGAGAGAGAGCGGATGGGGAAGAAAACAGAGGTAGAAGTGACCGTTGAGACTTGCATGGTTGTCTGTGTTAGCGTTAGGGGAGATTCGTCCGTTGGGACTTGGCATTTAGCTTTGAACTTCTAGGAAGCTTGACCTACACCATTTTCTTTGATAGTGTCATGTGAGTACCGACGGCTGGGGGAGTCTATACGGTTAGTTCACTGTCGAAGATTCAAATTCATCATCGTGTTCTCTTCTGTAATGATGTGGGATGTAGGATATCTAAAAAGGAGACAATTTGCTATGATCGATCGGGCCTCACGGCGGTGAGACCGAATACAAGAATCAGGATTTGCTAAGCTACAATATCCTCTCTTCAGACAGATAGGTTATCCTCCGGTCGAAGGGTTACCTCGTGGCTACGAGACTGTCCTATCAGCGAAGTCACCTCTTAACCGCCAATGGTCCTACATAATAGGTCTACACCGAGGGTTTTCCAACTCGATCCTTTCGATGCTTAAGTTAACAAAGACGGAGGGAGAGGAAGACGGTAGTATCAGTTATATATATGAAAGAGTAAAGATATTATTACTTGCTTGACCCCTACATCTTCAGGGATTGATCGTATGTAGGTTGTTAGCGTCCGTTAATATTTTAGGCGGTCGATTCATTTGTTCTGGAGTGATTGTTTTGCTCCCATGTTATGCAGGGCTGTCTCCTTACTTTCGGGTGCCGCTTCGTGCGATGTCAAGCAGTGTGAATTCTGCTTTACGTCACTTTTGAGCCGGGTGGTGTCGTTTCGGGACATAATTATTTCTGAGTCGATCTATGTCATTTTGTACCGCTTTGAGACGTATATGTGACTTCGATTAGATGTGCCACATAGGGTTTAAGGTGGCTGTCAATTGGACAGTACTATAATAGAATATCCTCTATCACACACACACACACACACACACACACACATATATATATATATATATATATATATATATATATATATATATATATATATATATATATATATATATATATATATATATAATGACTACATCAATTTATTAATATTAATTTAGATTTAAATATTTTAATTAGTAATTCAATTTTATAAATATAATATATTTTCATAATTAAAAAAATTATCTATTTTGATATTTAGATAAACTTTTTTTTTTTTGTATCTATCAACAATTTATTTCGAGTTGGATTGATGTAATTATTTTTTCAAATGTTGTTACAGAATAATTTTAATTTTGTGAATAATTTTAGATGTTGTCATTAGATAAATTAATATTTTTTCAATTTTTAACTACATATATTTTTAAATTATTTTATATTATACAAATGGTCCGATTAGTTGACCCTCTAGTTTGACCAATAGTCTATTGACCAAAATTTGAATGTATCGCATGCAATGCGTTGGATTTCAATGCTCGAATATTCACATATATGCATTATAATATTAGATTAGGGTAGTAAGTTAACCGAACCAGCCGCGGTACAGCTCGCGGCAGGGCCACCCCCTGTCTCCACCGTCCACGTTTACCAGCCTGGCACACGGCGGGACCCATGTCGAGCTGTGGTTGTCAGTGATTGAAGGGCGTTTGGCAGTTGTGTCTGAGGTCAAAGAGGTGATCCGCATCTCGTCGTCGCCGCCGCCCGTGTACATAACAAAGTACCCTCGGGTCCCACAAGAACGACCAATTGACATGCGCCAGACTGTCAGGTGTACCGAGTCTTGTACCAACAGTATGGTTGTTTTCCGACGTCGCTCCATATTTAGCTGTTGCCCGTCTTCTTCTCGTTATAATTGGAGACGTCCAAACAGCCAAAGCCGCCCTCCGCCTTCTCTCCTCCCTTCTTGGCTTCTACAATCCGCAATGGCGCCCCGGCCGTTCGCGTGCTTCGGCCGAAGACGCGGACGGGAGGCCTCGGCATCTAAACCGCCGGTCGCGAACGCAACGGCGGACCAGACTCAGGAGGAGCAGCGGCGGATGGGACCCGTGCTGGTGGAGCTGTTCTCGTCGCAGGGGTGCGGCACCTCCCCGGAGGCGGAGGGCGTGGTGTCGCGGCTGGGGCGAGGAGATTTCGAGGGGGACCTGCCGCCGGTGGCGGTGCTGGCGTTCCACGTGGAGTACTGGGATTACCGTGGCTGGCGGGACCCCTTCGGCTCCAGCATATGGACCGTGAGGCAGAAGGCCTATGTGGATGTGCTGCACCTCGACACCCTGTACACGCCCCAGGTGGTGGTGAACGGCCGCGCCCAATGCGTCGGCACCGACCCCGACGCCGTCTTCGCCGCCGTCCGTTCCGCCCCTAGATTTACCTCCCCCACCATGCAGGTTTGGCTCTTGGCTCTATCCGCGTCTCTTTTAGGATCCTGATCTTATCTTGGATGCGTGCTTCCCTTTGCTAACGTTGCATCATTATATATCAAACGTTATGGCGAAGCTTTAATTTTGATTCCACATAACATATAACTCCTTTTTTGTTGGCTCATCTCTTTCATCAAACCATGCACCATGAGATAACAACAGCCTACCACGACATGTTAATATGCATGGTTAATTCGAACAATAGAGCAACCATGAGGACATCCAACCATTCTTCTGCCACCTCTCTCGAAAATGGAGCAAGAATGCCTGCTATACGGTAATAGACCTTCACCAAAAATGGCTGCACGAGGAACATGCACGCACAGCAGCTAATGCTTCACGGTGGGGAGTTTTCACTTGTAATCAATGAGAACTGATGACGAGGTTGCATGGGGCGCCGCGGTGCAGGCGACGTTCCAAAAGCCCGACCCCGGCACACTGCAGGTGTCCTTCACGGGGGCGTTGCAGACCAAGGTGGACGGGAGTGGCGCCGACGTGATGGTAGCACTCTACCAGAGCGGGCTCGTCACCGACTGCGACCAGGGCGAGAACAAGGGCCGCGTCCTCACCAACGACTACGTCGTCCGCCGTCTCGAGAAGCTCGTCTCCGTGAAGGACGTCTCGGCAAAGAAGAACATCTCCGGCTCCGTCCACTTCACCCTCTGGGATGGGTTCAACAGTGCAAAATGCGGCTTACTCCTCTTCGTCCAGAATGCCTCCCTCCAGACTTTTGGCGTGCAGCAGTTCCAAATCCCACAAGAAGACACCATCTGATCTGGTGCTCGATGCTCGCTTTCAACGATGTTCATCCTGCTCACGGGGTTCTGCTTCCAGTATTCCTTGTTGTCGCATGCTTTCTTTGTATCCATTTGCCATTCTTTCTGTACCTAATTAGGAAGTATGAACGGGGCACGAAGCGTATTGTATTGGTATTTTTCTGTCGTGATGTGTGTTAATTACCTTGTCGAGCTTGCTTTGATGTAACGGTCCTTTTGATTCATCTCCCTTTGTTTAAGAACTACAATTAGACTAAACAGTACATCACGGTCTCGATGGTTAGACCTCACAAACCAAGCTTGCCAAGTGGCAATATCTGAGCGGCCCAATCATGTTGTTTGGAGGACCGGATAAGACTGTCCTCTTCCTCTCGTTGTCCCCCGAGTGTTCCCCTACTGCCATTCCTCTGTCCCTCGACTCCGGCGACGACCTCCGTTCTGCCTCGAGGACCCTAATAATTTCTACCCTCTCTCTCTCTCTCTCTATTGTGGGGTGTCTCGAATGGCCTCCATTCCATCCGTATCCTTCGCCTCGCCTTGTAGGCAAGCCGCCGAGAGGAGGCCGACCCTTGCTGTTACGGAAGCATCCTTCGCCCTTGGCGGATTTCGAGCCGGAGTCCCTAGGCTCAGCTCCCGGATGGTCGTCCGCTGCGTGGCTGCCGCAAGCTGTGAGCTTTCTGTTTTATCTACTCAACCCTAGTTATGTACCGAGATTTGTTTGTTTGTTTTCTATTATCGGTTGTCACAAATGCATTTCGGTGCGGATAAAGGACAGTGCATTGTGCTTTCCTTTTCTTTTTGCCCATAGATTCCGAAACCTTCTTGGTTTCAAACACTTCGGCCGTAGATTCAAGGCATTTGCTTCTCTTTATGCCTCTACTTTTGCGTTTAATTTCTTTAGGATTCAATGTGGATGAAGAATGTCTTGAGTGCATTTCCCATTTTCCCTATTGCAGTTCATCACTCTACCCTTTCCCTGAAAACTTAATTTGAGGTTTGGTGAATTGAGATTGTGATCGAACAACCATGATCATAGATTGAGGTAGCCCGACGGTCAATGCTCAGAATCTTTGTGCTTTCCCGGAAATCTATTTTCTTTACTTTCTTTTTGGCAATTCTGGGACTGTTATCTTTATAACGTATGTTAGGGATGTTGCTTCCCGTACCAGCCCTTCGACTGGTCTCTCTCTCTCTCTCTCTCTCTCTCTCTCTATATATATATATATATATATATATAAATTCATTATCTTTCATCAAGACTTCTTTGAATTTCAATATAATAGTTATTTTCAGCATTTCATAAATATCTGTAGTTATTAAAGGAGACAGTTCCATAAAGATGTTATATAGCATATTACTGACATGGTTATGATGATGGAACCATAACCTTCATCTCTTACCTTTTTATTCTTTGATCTTAGTGGGAGCAAGCATAGATGAGTAGGAAGCTTCCGTTTGTTAATTTCTTTTTTCTTTTACTGATTAGATGTGCCACCCACCGTATCCGAGACAAAATTCAATTTTCTCAAATCATACAAGCGGCCAATTCCAAGCATATACAACACTGTGTTGCAGGAGTTGCTTGTACAACAACATCTGATGAGATACAAAAGGACCTACCAGTATGAGGCTGTTTCTGCACTCGGCTTTGTGACTGTTTATGAACAATTGATGGAAGGGTATCCGGACAGTGAGGATCGAGATGCCATCTTCAACGCATATATCCAGGCATTAAAGGAAGATCCTGATCAGTACAGGTACTTGCCTCTGAATTTATCTACAAATCTGTTGTAATTATGCATGGTCATGTTCAAATTGGTCCATAGCTTCCAGATAACTTTTTGAATTTTGAATAGATGCCATGACTATGACCTGTCAGTAGTAAGGAACTA